CCAATCAGAAACAGACTTTCTTTAGAATTTTAGATATCACTTTTGAAACATCTTTGGTATTCAAAAGCATACATACAAAGATTCATATAGAGCAAGTTTTATTGCAACTTCTCTTCTTTTGAGAGCTGATAGCATCACGAATCAGAATCATCCACCTTCATCTTCTTTTAGTCACTTTTCCCTAGGCCTGGACGCTAGTCAACTAGTTACATATGCTTGACTATGGGCTCCTGAAAATATATAATTTTTTCTCTAAGAGATCAGAAAGAAGGTGTGCTAGAGACTTCATTTTCTTCATGTTTGGAAGGCCCATAATTATCCAATTTAAAGTTTTCAGAAAAGCCTTTCGAAGACCGAATAATTTCCAAAAGAGTACAGATCTCAAGCATTCAAAATAACCCACTGAAAATCATAAACAAACTCAAACAGTAAAGAGACTATATTGAATTGCATACAAAAGGAATTTTACCGAAGCAGGGCAATACCATCAAGATAAGAATTATGTAACAATTTGCTTAAATGTTTAAGGATAGAATAACTGCGACTTCTGAAAAAAGCCATACTCTATTTATCTACTCTTTGTTTTGCTGAAATCATCAGTTTGAATTCTAAATTCCAGCTGGAATTTAGAAAGTGGGGCTATTAACTGGAACTTTTTTTGTGTGTGTGTATAGTTTTCAAGAAGCAGAAGGACTTTTCCTTTTTAGATGATATAACATAAATAAATGACAGTGGAATATCCATATCCATCATTTCAGTTGAAATTCTATCTTTTAAAAGTAACCTCTGGATCAGTTCATTATTTTTTCCACAAGTCCTTCTTGCAGGTTTGGTATTAGCCCTCTTTCCCCCACAAACACGTTTCTTGGAGACATTTGGTCATTTTCCTTTTCAAAGGTTTTACTAACCACAATGAGATAGGCAAGTAAGGGGATCATATTTGGACGGGGCTCTCTGATTATAGACTTCGCTGTTTCTTGAACTAAAATTACAAGATTTATTATTCTATTAATGCTCATAAAGTCACTCTTTTGATGAGCTATAATTTCTCTTTATGAGGAGTCTATATGCCAGTCACCCACGTGAAGGGAGAAGACTATCCAGACTTCCAACATACTTATATTCCCTAGAACTTTAGTAAAGACTTGAAATTTCATATGATTCCAGAGGATGCTGACTTAGGGTACAGTAGCAAAAGGTAAATTTCAAGGATATATTCCCTAGAACTTTAGTAAAGACTTGAAATTTCATGATTCCAGATGAAGCTGACTTAGGGTACAGTAGCAAAAGGTAAATTTCAAGGAGTCAACATACCCCCATGAGTGTCCTCTCATATTGCTGGCTGTGTACAAAACCTCAGCTATTCCATTTTGATTAAAAAAAACTTAACCGTTAACCCTGCTGATGGAGAAGATAACCCAACTAGGCTTGTATTATCTTTGCGAATATTCTCAGAGAACCAAATAGCAGGAGGTGCGAACTTTCTCCTGTTTATCTTAATGGTGTGCTAATAGCAGAGCATAATTACAGTTACTTAAGTGCTAAGTTTATTAAGGTTTCCACTAAAACCTTCAGCCACACCGCATTCCTTGACTGACCCCGCTTTTCTTTATCCAATTGCTTTATCATTTGAAAGAAAACTGCCCCAAATAAAAACAAAGAACGAAGCCAACATCCCACTCCTGTTGTGTTTAATTTCTTGCCGTTATTTTATGAAGAGCTAAAACACTTACGACTTCTAAAAAGTCGACAAAATTATGTGTAAGGCATCGTTCATTGAAATTTCAGGCTTCTCACATTCAAAAAGCAGGGCTATGCGGGAGTTTTGCAATAGTTCGCTTCACAGCTTTAGGAAGTCAATTTGCTTCTAAACCAGAAGACTCTGTCTCCTAAAGACCATGGTGGGGGGTTGTAGTGGGGGTGGAAACTGCTATTGTACCTTTCCCCCCAAGCACCCACACCCGAAACCCAAAAGCCACCATCTCCCCATCAGTCTCTGGATCTCCTCGCTGCCTTTGTCCCTTCTAGACTTGGAGGCTTGGAGAGGAGGTTTGGTTTCCAAGGATTGGAGCGTTTGAAGGGCGGGGCCATCTCCAAGTCCATCTCCCCTTTTTGTCCTCTTCTCCTGGGACGGGAGGGCGGAGCCAGGTCCCCCCGCGGCCGGTTCGGGAGCTCTCTCTATCTCGGTCGCTCGAGGTGAGTCTGAAAGGGCGGCAGCCCGTTTAATTGTAGCGCAGGTTAATTTCTGGAGTTCACCGCAGTCGGTCCGCCAGCCGCTTCCCCGGTCTTTGCCAAGTGGGTTTATGAGGTCTGAGGCGTGTTGGGGCGCGCTCACGTTCTCGCGAAAGGCTCCTCCCCAGGGCTCATTCCCCGACTGCGGGCAGCCCTTTGGTGCCCCAGGAGACTAGGAAATCCAGGGTTTCCTCTGACCTGGTCGCTCCTTCCTCCCTCCCCGCCGCCTGGTTCCCTACGGCCCTGCCCCGGGGGAAGGGCGGCCCCATCTTAGGACTTCCGACCCGAGCCAGCCTAGAAGGTACCTTCACGTCGATGAAGATTTTATCGCAGCCTCCAAAACCCAGCAGTAATGGGAGCTTTCAAACTGAAATACGATTGTTATTTTCCCGGTGCAGAGCTTGACAGAAAAAAGTCAGCTTTTTATTAAAGACAAAGAGGTAAATTATCAGGCGGGACACAGAAGGGACGGCGCAGACCTGGCGCGCTTCCTCCGGTTGCCACGAGGAATTTATGGGGGGAGCCGCGGCCAGCGCTCAGGCACCCCTGGGGTCCCGGTGGGGAGGAGCTCGTGGCAGGACTTCCCCAGGTCCCTCCGGGCACCTGGAAGGGGGAGTCCTCCCAGTTCTGCACAAAGCCAGGATCATTTCAGTCCGGAGCAGCCTCAGCGTCCTCCTGTCTCCTTTCTTCTTTCTTTGGACTCCCGTTTCTCTTTCGCCTCCGTCCTTTCTCCTCTCCCTACTTTTTCTCGTCCCTTCCCTCGCCTTTCCTTTCCCTCTGCCCCCTCCCCTTTCTTCTCCACCGCACGCGTAGAGTGTCATTTATTTATTTATTTATCACCCTCCCCGCCATCAACACCCTTTTTAGGGCTCCCAGGCTTTTCAGTGAGGGGGAGGAGAAGAGGGCAGGAAGTGTTGACTGGAAAGGGGTGAAATCGTGCCGCAGGGTGAGAGATTCTGCCCAGGAATACATGATCGGGAAAATCTTGGAAAATGAGTCTTTAGATCTGCTTAGGAAACCCCGCTATCCGATGGGAACCAACTCCGCGCGCGTCGCCTCCTCCCGCTTTATTGTATGGATTTATGTGCATATCTTCCCTGACTGGGGAGTGGAGGGGAGGGGAGGGGAGGGGGCGCGTATTAAAGAGCACAGTCTTGCCTGGGATCCTCAACACCGCGCCTTGCCCGGATGCGCGCTCCTCAATGCAAAGGAATCCAGCAACATCCCCCAGTTCAGACGCGGACAAAAGAAACTTTAATTAAGGTCTCTGCCCCGCGCGCTGCGTGTTTTTCTCTCCCGAGACTGTTGATGTCCAACTGGCGGAGCTGGGAAATAGAAATGGTACCACCAGCCCATGCCCTTGAACTTCAATTGCTCCTGACTTGCTGCATTGATTTTCTGATATTGTAAGCCCCTCCACCCTCAGTCAAATTAAAAGCCTTAGGAGGCAGTCGACCTGGTTGGGGGAGGGAGGACACTCCTTTGCAAAAGAGATAGTTCCAGGACGTTTTTTGGGGGGAGATTATACTAAATAAAAATTCAAGGTGTGAAAGCTTCATCCTGGCTCTCTTGTCTTCAACACCATGACACCTTATCATTAGGAGCGCTGATTGTTACTTTCCGAGCCTTTAGATGATCAGCCAGAAAGCGCAAACAACGCGGGGCTGGAGGGTGTAAAGTTATTTAAGTAGGCTTTTTTTTTTTCTCCTTCCTTTTGGTGCGCCGTCAAAACATTTCACAAGTTAGGAAAAGAAAGTGGTGGTTCCGAGGCTCGGAATTGATGGGTTCTTTCCCTCCCCCACCCCCCTTTTCCATATCAGTAAAGAAATAAAACGCACAATGAGCCTTTATTTCACGGGAGAAGACTTCAAAATACGTGCCAGTAATGGACAATTTGAGCTTTTCACTGGAGATACTCACACCGCGAGCTGGAAAGGGATTAAAAAGCCCCACGTGGTTGATCTGGGTTTAGACTTGCAACCTCCAGTTGCCCGTGTACGTTCTTTGCAAAGATTGGCTTCTAGATGGATGCCTGTGAGGGACCCTCAGGGGCCAGGGTTGGGCGCCTCGGGCAAGGCTAACGGTGGGAGCGCTATGCGCTGCGGGGCAGGGTCTTCACTGTGGGCTTCCTCTGCCGGCCAGGGTGGCCGGGTGCCTCCGGGACGCGAGCGCGCACGCCTCGGCCCGGCGGCCGCGCTCCTCGCACCGCCTTCTCCGCAGGTCTTTATTCATCTCATCTCCCTCTTCCCCTTCTCCTCCTCCTTTGCCTCCTTCTCCTCCTCTTCCTCCTCCTCCTCCTCCAGCACCACCACCACCTCCTCCGCCGCCGCCACCTCCTCCTCTTGCATCTCACTGGCCTGGCTGTGTGTTGCTCAGAGTGACAAAGACAATGTCCCAGCCTTAACTTTGCAACCACCTTGCCTCCTTCTGGGGTTCAGCGGGGGGGCGGGGGGACAGCAGCCGCTGCTACAGCATCTCCTCCAGCTTCTGCTCTTCTCCAGCTCTTGGAGGATTCTTCTTCCCTTTCCCTTTCTTCATTTCTTTCTTTCGTTCGTTCTTTTTTTTTTTTTTTTTTTTCTTTTTTCTTGCGGTTTTTTTTTGTTATTAGAAAGGCCCCCTGGTGCTCCGGGGTTTTGTGTGGCAGGAAAAGATTGTCTTCCTCCTCTCTTTCTGTCTTGCTTTCTCTCTCCCTCTGGTTGCTCATTATTCAGAGAGAGACACAGAGGGAGGGAGACGGAGCGCGAGGGAGAGGGAGGAGAGGAGAGAGAAGAGGAGAGAGAGGAGAGAGTGAGAGGGAGAGGGAGGGAGGGAGAGAGAGGGAGAGAGAGACGGATATCTCAGGTCATCTGCAGCTGCAGCGAGTCTGAGGAGCCGAGGAAGGCAGGGAAGATGGCGATCCTCCATTGCTGAGACCCGGCAGAAGCACATGAGACTCCCAAACAACTTCCACAACAATAACCCGAGCAGGAAGAGGAGAAAGAGAAAGAGGATAAGGAGGCGGTGGGGCTGGAGAACCCGAAGCACCTCCCGGCGCCGGGACGCTCCTTCTGTAAGTTACTGCAATTAACCAGCACCTCGGGGTGGTCCGAGTGCTGGAGAGGAGAGCGCGGGGTGGTGGAGGCACAAACGCGCTCATTCATTCGGCCAAGGAGGGCTGGAGGAGCGGGGAGGAGAGGAAGTCCCCTGCGTGGACTAGCTGTGGGAAGAGAAGAAGCAAGAGAGGAGGAGGAGGAGGGGGAGGAGGGAGAGCAGGAGGGGGAGGAGGAAGAGGAGGAGGAGAAGCGAGGGAGGAAGAGGAGGAGGAAGAGGAGGAGAAGGTGGCGGTGGTGGCAGTGGAGGTGGCTGTGCTTTTCCTGCTGGCTGCTCCTTCTGCCGGGGGGCGCGGAGCGCGGTGGCTTAATTAATTTCGTGTAGTTGTATGAAGAGAAGACAAAATGAAAGATGAGTGAGAAGAGAGCTGGAGGCTTAGGACGGATGCTCCGAGAGTGGGGACCGGAGTAGGACGCAGAAGGGGGCGGAGGGCGGGAGGCTGGAGACCTGAGCCGGGAGCCCGAGGGAGCGAGCGAGGGTCAGAGGAGCGAGCGCTCGGAGCAGCGGCCCCGACCTGCGCGGGTTGACCTCTTTCTTTCTCTGTCCCTCTCCTTCCTTTCCCCCTGTCTGCCTGTCCCCCGCCCGATGGCAAAGCCGTGCGGATTGGCACCCCCCTCTTCCTCAGGTATTTGGCTCGCTCTCGCTCTCGCTCTCTCCCCGAAGTTGGGATGCGGGGTCGGGATGTGTCGGGGGGTGGCTGCTGCCGCCATGTCATATTCCCTCTGTCACTTCACAAAATCTATGGCCCTGACCCTCTTCGAAACATGTCACTTCACATACGGCAAGCTTTTAGCTTTGTGGTTTTGAGTGTTGACCCTATCGCTGAGTGCCTGGCTTTAACTCCCAGCTCAGCTACGTGTGAGCTGCTTGACTCGGGCAAGTTACTTAATCTCTCTGCACGTCACGGAATGGGCCCGCTACACACAGGGTCTTGGGAGAATTAAACAAGTCAGTACATGTGGCAGCATGTCCGCATATATTGTTACATGGCCTGCTGTCACTAGCACTCATCTTTCCCTTTCTTTATCTCCCTGTCCTCCATTTGCAAGCTGTCTGCTTTGGTTCCAGTCCAGACTCCAAAACACAAAGCTCCTTCTCACGTTCATTCTCCAGGCTGCTCACCATTCCTGAAGGAACCCTCATTTTCTTTTCATTGTAGCTCCTAACCTATAGAGAGGGAGGGAGGGAGGGAGGCTGCCTGGAGTTCCTTTTCTATTCCTTCCCCAACCAAAAAAAAAAAAAAAAAGTTTCATTTTTAAGCATGCGTCTGGGATGGGGAAAGACCAACCAGTTGGGGCTTTCTCCAGGGCTCCCGGGGGCTGTGTCTGAGCGCCTGTGTTGGCTGTTTGGTTTGCTTTGGTTTTGTTTCTGGAGGTTGCTTGCAGGTTTGGGGAGGAAGTGAGTAGTTTGGTTGAGGGCTGGGAACTGAGTCAGGTAAGCCCTGTCATGTAACTCTACCAGAAAATGGAGGAGAGCGGGTTTCCAGGAGACAAAGCTGAGATGAGAAGTGTTTATAAAATTATGGATGTCTCCATTTTGAAGCTCTGTTGGTGATGACTGGAGGAGGAGGAGGCTTGCCTGCCTAACCTTTTTCCCTTTCCAGAGGGAAACCTGGTGGTGGTTCCTCACTCTATTCATTATGCAAGGAAATGAGGGCTTTTAAGGGTTCCTCAAATTTTTCTCCCAACCCAAGGAGAGCTTTCCCAAGGTTCTGAGGCATTTGTTTCCATTTTCAAGTTAACTTTTGGAATTTTTCTTTTTTCTCCTTTTGAGTGTACCTGAAGGGTTTTGACCTCCCTGAGGGAAGGAAAGGCAAAACCATAAACATTTCCACAGAGGTCTTCACACAACTTTAAGCTGCTCCAGGTCTCCTGAAAGTCACCAGGCAATGCTGTTACCTCATTGTGAAGATGGTGGTGGCCCTAAGCTGAGATTTTTTGAGTTCTGGGCCTTGATTATGATCATGTTTTGATTGATTGAAGACTTTATTTTCTGGCTTGGGTTGATTTCTGGGGGGAGAAGGAGGGAGGCAAAACAAAAAAAAAAATCCTACAAGATCTCAGAGGAACTCTTAACACTAACACCAGTTTCTCCAGGCTCTATATTTCTCTTCAGGTTGTTCTATTTGTATGTTAGGCCTTCTTTGAGTTCCTTTGTTTCCCCCTTTCCCTTGCCTTCGGCTATTTTTTGCTGTGTTCTCAAGTACTGTAAGTCAGTCTTCAGAAATATCAAGGTGCCTTCTTAACAATGTCACTATGGAAACAAATTTTGAAAATAATACCAATTGAGAAAACCCTTATGTCCAGGGATCTTCACCTTTTTACTTGAGAGAAATTTATTAATCTTGTAGGAAGACATTTTGTGAGGATGATTTGAAAAAAGATCCAGTCCTACCTGCCTCCACACGCATTCATTAGAGCTCTTCACAGATTAGTTCTAGAGAATGTAGATAACTGACCCAAGTAAAGAACTGAAATTTGAAATGCTTTAAGAATTTCTAAGAGTGAACCATGAAGATGTTGCTTTTCCATTAGGTAAGGTAGCCATCTTGAGGATGAGGGAAGATGTTGGAAGATTTTAGATGGACTGTTGAAGATAGGTGAGAAGGGTTCCATAGTGGAATGAAAACTTGGAGGAGATTCAAGGCCAATTAATATATTCTGAGGAGGCTAATTGGACCTTGCTTTCAACTAAGCAGAAATATAGAAAGGTACCAGATTCTATAAGGAACACTTTGGTGAGCAACTTAAACCAGCTTTTCTTTTGCTTTGCTTTCTCATATGTGTCAGATTTTTGTGTGTGTCAAGTTCCTTATGTCTACAATGTTTTTGTGCATATTGAAGTGGTTTTCGATTCCAGATGTAATTTTATTCTGTTGAGTAGTTGGTAGCAGTGTCACTCAGTAAAAGCACAATGCTCTATATGACAACATCACATTTTTCAAACCTAACCGTTGTGTCATTAATTGAAGGTTATTGTTCTACTGAGTGGTGTGAAAGGAGAGGAGAAATACATGGTTCTTTAGCTGATAATTGTCTATGGTCAATTAAGGAAAACCCAGTTTGTGCAGATGAAGATGTATGACATTCAGTTGATTTGTGTGTTCCTTTGAAAATACTTGTGTTTAGATCTCTGCTCCTTCATTAAAAATCTAGGCCTCTTCAAGAGCACTATTGAAAAACACTTCTTATTTGGAATCATACCTTTTATTATTCATTTTGAATGTTATCTTTCGATACTATTGCTTTTGCTCTTAAACAGAATGTCATCAGTGTTATATTTAAATTTGCTAATGCATATACAGATGTTCAAACTTGGAAGTTCAAAAGCAATGGAAAAAAGTTATTTGGGAAAGTAATTACCAGATCATTTTGCATCTAATTAACCATATATGTTTATGTAAATGAAAATATATTATAAGTTGATTGTGAAGCAAACTTTCCTGATATCTTTCTACATTGTAGTTGCTAGCAGGACAACTAGTAAATGTACTTACAGAGGACAAAATCTGATAGAACTGGTTGCCAGTCTAGCAGTCAGACTCACCACATTTTTTTTTTGACTTTGCAACCACATGTTTGGTGTCTTAACAGGCAGTCTTAAAATTGAGCATTTCTGGGGGGGAAAAAAATAGGTATCTAAGAGACATTTTGGAGTTTGAGAATATGTTCTAACTGGCTATTTAAGAGACACATTCATCTTTGATGAATGAGAAGTACCATAGTTTTTTTTTTTTTTTTTTTTAAGAATTACTTAGTTTTATTTTAATTTGATGAGAGAGAGAGAGAGAGAGAGATAAAGAAAGTGAGAAAGCAAGTGACTAGTTCTGACCCTCTAACCACAGTCAGTCATGTGGGAATCCAGTGCCTTAACCACCACACTACTGGCTGGCTCCATAGTATTTTATAGATGTGTCTTGAATTTTCTAGACCTACACATTTGAATTTGAGACAAATATTTTGAATACACATCATGAGAGAAATAAAGAGTGTCAAACTGAAATTCTCATTTGGTGCCAAAGGTCAAAAGTTCTTTTTGTTTTTAAGACATCTAGTTATGAGGCTTGTTATATGCAAATTTTTGCCATGGCGCTAATATTTCACAAAGAGAAGTCATTCTGAGTATTTGTGAACCATGGTGTGCACTGCCATAAAAAAGATTCTTCTTGGATCTTTATATTCTGTACTTCTCATATTGAATTTATGTCAGTCTAATTCATTGACCACATTCCCTAAAGACCTCCCCCCCACCCGTTTGGATTTGGAGACAACTTTTAAAAGGGAAAAAAATTATCTATTCTTCCTAATGAGTCTTCCGGAAGACAGAGGGAAAAAAAATCTACCTCTACTAATGGACTTTAGAGTATTTGTGGTCAGTTTTCCTGAAAGAAAAGAATGGTAAAGTTGCCTTGGGGTCCTGTTTTCTGTGCGTTGGAGTTTTAATAGAGTCTTGTCTGTCTTGAAGTATTCCTTGCTATTGAGATTTCTGGGTGGTAACCTAACTTACCTTCTTTGTATTATGTGCCATGTTTAGTTATATAGTTCATTGTATCATGGGACAGAGAACAAAGCTATGTCTAATATTCTAAGTTGATTAGAGACCAGAGATGTTATTTTATAATCCCATAATCACTAATTGGGAAATACAGAAATAACCAGATTTACAACGGATCTCATATGACTACATGACTAGGTGGTTGGTATATGGAAACTAAAATTCAAAAGAAGTAAGGAAGAAGTAAGGGGGAATATCTTGAGTCTATTGCCAAAACTCAATGAACTGAAAATAAATAAATAAAACGTAAAAGCTGTATGTGTATATGTATGTGTGTTCTTCACATACTTATGAAGTTGATGACTTTTAAGAGAAACATTAGCTGGGTGTTGGTGACCTATTAATTGATCATGAGAAAACAGAGTGGACAGTAGATAATGCTAGAAGAAAATTCTTCTTGTGTGA